TGGGGGAGGGGCCTGTGCGGGAGGGGTCTGGGGAGGGGCCTGTGGGGGAGGCCTCAGGGCAGGGCCTGGAGGAAGGGGAGACCAGGGAGAGCTGGCCTTCGGGGCTGGAGGGTCTGGTTCCCTAGCAGAGGCGAAGGACCGACCCCCGGCACCAGGTGCGGCTTACCCATCTCCCGGTCCTCCCGCACCCTCCTCCTTTCGTCCGCGCAGGCCTGCAGCCACCTCGCCTTGTCCTCCTGTTTTCTGGCGCAGAACACGTGAGCCTCGTCCGTGGTTCTGCTGACGAGCTTGAAGGCATTTTTCAGGCTGAGGTTCCAGTCCTTGTCCCGCCCGTCCTCCAGGTCCACGAGCTCCATGTCGTCCATGTCCACGCGGCCGCGGTAATAGAGCATGTCCCTGCGCAGCAGGTCCTTCTTGCAGGACACGAGCTGGTGGTCAAACAGGAAGAAGGTCCGCTGCTGGCTCCTGCCTTGCTTGCTGATTCTGGTCAGTTCCCCAGAATGGATCAGTTCTGAGCTTCGGTCTAAGATGTCCTGTCCCTGGGAGGGTGAAAACACACATTTAAGACCTTCCACTCTCGTCCCTTCAGGTGTCGGGAATACGAGGCCCGCTCATGGGCCGGCAGGGCCTCGGGGGCCAGGCCCCGCGTGTGTGACGTTCCTTTCCTACTCACGGGGGAAATGTTATGGTGCCTGCGTTACTGGAGGCGTCTTTCTTCTCAGAAGACCTGGTGAAAAGCCTGCTGGATTCATGGAACCTAACGAGATGTGAAATGGCACCCGCCAGGGTGACCCTGGAAGAAGGGGGATGGGGACGGGTTTCTGCGGAGGGACACGGCGCTGCAGGCGCTGCGGCTTCCGGTCAGGTGTGCGGCAGCTCCCTGCATAACTAGCTTAGGGTCTGGGGAAACAGAAAGTCAAATGGCAAATTACCAGCAAGAAACTGGTAAACTACTGACAATAAATTACCCCGTAACTGTCAGAGTCCAAGAACTGAAGGAAAAACACTCTTTTATCATATTTAGGTTGGGTCTAATCCAATGAAACTTTATGGTATTTGGGACGACACTGGCCTTTGATCTGTAAGATTTTCTTCTTTACTCCCAATCCTACGCAGTATTTTTTGTCGGCAAAAGATCTTGACGCCAAAATAGTTCTTCTATTTACTTGCCCGGAGCAATCCTGCGCCCTAGATTCTCCACTTACAAAATAAGAGGGTTAGACTTAGGAATCTCTGAGGTCCCGAATGTGTGTAAGGCACTCGAAATATAAGAATTTCTTTCTAACTTTGACCACTATAAGCTACGTTAATTAAAAACCTAACTTCTCAACGCAAATTTTCACAATCCTTTGGGAGAGTGAGTACTGACAATTACTTGAATGTGGGATGAATCTCGCTTGGTTTAAAAACCACACACACGGTGTTAAGCTTGCTCTTAGTAACGGCCACAGAGCCTAGTGGCGGCCAGTGTGGACTCAGGGACCAGGCTGCCTGCCGGGATTTACGCCCAGGTCAGCCACTTCCCTGCCTTGTGGCTCTGGGCGAGCTCCTTCCCTGTTCTATGCTTCAGTTTCTCCATTTGTTAAATGGGGTGACAGCTGCTACCTCACTGCACTGTGGAGAGGATTAAATGAGTTCACATGTATAAACGGCTCAGCCCAACGCCATGGTAAACACAACACAGGCACTCGCTACTGACGCTGTTTTTATAAATAACGTGGGTGGGTGGGTGCACACACATGCACACTGGACCATCGCGGGCTGTATCGGGCAAGGCATTTGCACTGCCTTATTCAATCCTCACGATGCTCCTCTCCATCTCAGAGATGAAGATATCGATCTTCCCCAGATACCAGGGGGTTTGCATGCAGGCAGTGTGACTGTGCAGTCCATACTCTTACTTACCACACTGTAATTTATATTTTATACGTTCTCCAGCCGCTACCATGAAGCTTACTCCCCAGCAGGAGAGACGGCATAAGCAGTAAACTAAGGACAATCTTTAGAGCATTTCTTGGGAGAGGCGTAGGGGAAAGTAGCTGACTTAAACTCAATGACGTGCCTCGACATAAATACAGGTGTCGCCTGTTTTTCCAAAGTCTGCTTTACACCTCACTTACGGAACACCTACCTCAGTCCCTGTCTTTGCTAACCAAAAGAAATCCAAAGAGAATTTTCATTTTTACCAAAAAAGGCAAGATGTGAAAACGTGTTCAGCGTTGGTTTTGCGGGCAACCGTTACAGAGGCAGCGGAACTGGGACCACGAGAGCTGAGCTCCTCCCGGGACCACGCTCAGCACCAGCATCAATCAGGCTGCCGGAGCTCAGAGCCCCGTGAGGATCTGTGCTCCATTCGCACAAAGTGCCCTAAGGTAACTGCTTCCTCGCTTTGCACCGTTTCCGCTTAGAAGGGTTTCGTAGGAACGCTGTACTTTCCGATAGCGGGGAAAACCTGTGTCCCAATAAACCCGTAAGCATTAAGTACTGATCCCAGGACATTATGTCACCGAACTAGACCAGAGATTGGGGAGGGTGTGGGCGGTGTTGGATGATGCGGGGGGCGGGGGAGTGGCACCCACTTACCTCCCAGCCTACGATGGACACCTGCCACCGTGCTATCTTGTCTATGCTTTCCAGCTTGCGTTTGCGCTCATTGATCAGACAGGCTCCGTAAGCATTAGCAAATGATCCCAGGACATTATGTCACCGAACTAGACCAGAGATTGGGGAGGGTGTGGGCGGTGTTGGATGATGCGGGGGGCGGGGGAGTGGCACCCACTTACCTCCCAGCCTACGATGGACACCTGCCACCGTGCTATCTTGTCTATGCTTTCCAGCTTGCGTTTGCGCTCATTGATCAGACAGGCTACGTTCTTCATGGCCTCGTACGCTGCCTTTATGTTGCTGTGATCGCTGAAAAGCGGGAGGTCAGTTTTAACCACATGACAGGCGACGTGCGAAAGAGGACTGACAAGACAACATGCTCATCCCTCATTTGTAAACAGTCTAGACGAAGTGGCGTTTAAACAACAGCCACTGTTTCCTTTTCTCGCTCCTCCGTGAATAGGCTGCAGCCCACATAGGTTCAGGGGGCTGACTCGGCGCAATCCAGAATGCTTTGGAATAAGAATATTGTCATTCATTTCCCAGAAATCAGCATGAATGAAAGTAAATGCCACAGGAAATGTTTTAGTCACAGTGACAACGAATGGTTTTCATAAAGGAGGGTATTATTGCTTTGATTCTGATATAGCTAGTTTTGCTACAGAAAGTACTTTAATAACCACTAACCATTTTCAAGAGTGATCATTTGCTGAGTCCCCACCTTTCACGCCGTTCAGGAAAGGACACCAGAGGACAAAGCCACAGAAGGCTGACTTTGTGAGTTATGTAAATGCTAATGTGGCATTTGCCTCATCAGTGGAGCGTCATTTCTGGTGCTTTCCATACCGTGGTCGAATCAGACTGAAACGCACCCCCAGCCAGTCCTGTTCCCTCGGCCTCTGAAAATGCAGGTACCGGGAAAACCGAAACTACAATTCTGCTCCACACACAGGCCCCCACAGACAGGCCCAGCGTCTGAAACCTTTACATTCAAGTTTTTCTCAGCGTTAATAATTTGGAGCCATGTAAACCAATCGTCTGGTTAATGAGCTCAATTTTTTTTACCTCCCAGCACTTTCCCGAGTCTTACAAGGCAGACAGAGCCTTTGGACCTTAGACTGACTCAGAGTCCTCATAGCCAGGAAAAAAAACGCCGCAGCAGCAGATTCTATTGTCTATTTACCAAATGCAATTCGACTCATCTCCTGGGGAGACTGTCATTCCCCACCAGGCAGACCCTGCTGTCCCCAAGCAGCCTGTTCACATGCAGAGCAGAGCACAGAGGAAGAACAAAGCCGAACCCAGGGGACTGCCTGCACGAAGGCCACGAACACCCCAGAGAGGCGTCCAGCGATGAAGAAAGTGCGCAAAATAACCGCATTATTTTTTCCTGCAAGTTTTTCTGTACAATTCCAGACAAGAAGCAGACTGTAATTTTTTAAAAATTTGTTTTACTGAAGACAAGGAAATGGGCTTTTTGTCGTTTCCTTTAAAATGATTTAAAAAAAAAAAATAGCCCAAATCTGCAAATGCCTCATCGTGAAAAGTGCTCTTAAAAGAGAAAAACGAACTGTCGAAGGGTGACGCGAGGACTTGTCATAGCTGCCCCACCTTGGGACGTACTAATCTGGATAGCTCTCAGGATACCTTCGCTTCCTGATTTTCTCATTTCCTCTGGTTCCTCATCATGACCCCTTTTTATTCTTTTTAAGAACTTTCTTCCTACTTGTGACTCTCTTGACTTTCCAAATTTTTCTGATTTTTCCATCACAAAGAGAAAAAAAAATATATAGCTCTCTTCCCTTTGATCTATTTCAACGAACTCCCTTCTAGCCTGGTAAATCCTAATTCTTTAAACTAACATCCACATCTAGGATCCACTGCTCAGCGACTGATCTCTTTTTCTTTTTCTACTTTCTGATTGTAAAAAGATTCCTTTTCAAGCCCTCTTTCTCCACAGGAGTCCAGCGACAGAGAGGGTGCCCGGCAGGGCCAGGCGCTGCCGAGGGGAATGTGATTGCTTTCAGGGCAACAGTTGTTAACACCCAGAACTGCTGTGGCTCCTGCTGCGGATTTCCTCTATGCGCTATCCCTTCTCTCTCCCCGTTCTCACTGGAACCCTCAAGATGTAGTGAAAGCTTTGAGCCAGTGACACGCAAGTCACAGACGAGGTTGGCTTCTCACCTAAAAGAGTTGGCTTTATCCTAAAACCTTGCCTGATGGCGGTCCCCAGTGGGTATGCGAGCTGTGGCCTGGTGAGAACATAAACAATGACCCGATCGCTGCCACGGAAAGGCACCGAACAGCTGGGTCTTGCTGTGGTGACATCATCACGGAAAACGGACATGCCCACTCCAACAGTGGATGGGTGACACCTTATGTAGAAGCACCTAATTCTGCGCATGCAGGACAGTGACGAGTTGCTGTTAAGTAAGCAGTGGATAACTTTGCTGGCTCCCCAAGAAGAATTCAGCGCAAAGCTAAGTCCCAAAGGGAGACAGAATGTTCAGGCAGCCATGACGAGAAGCCGGGGCTGGAGGGGAGAGGGAACGGGGCGGGAGGACTCTGGAGACGGAGCGAGCGCCCAGGCTGGGCAAGAAGGGGCCGGGAGCCGAACGGGGTCTCGGTGAGATGCGTCTCCCAGGGGACCCCTGGCGCTACTCCGCGCCCCTGAGACTCCACACTAAAAAAAAACAGCCCACATTTCTCTATGGCGACACCCCTTCCGCAGAGTGGCTTCGTGTCGGCCTAAGTAATTCCACTCTGGGGTGGGCTGGTGTGGAGCGACCGAAGTACAGGAGAGACAAAGCCTTTCTGACCCCGCATCGCGCCGGTCTAGAGCTTTAAAAAAACTGTTTTAATTAACTACCGCGTAGCTACAAAGGAGTATTTATAAAATAAACGTCAACAATAAGGCCAACAAGACAACCAAAGTCCTCGCGTGCTCGTGGCACAGTTAGGAATTCTTTTTTAACAAATATCTCTAGGAACAGATATTCTGGAGCCTCTCCGACAACCCTACCCATAGTGAACGCTCTCACACGTCCTGAAGACTCTGAAAAGTCCTCCCACAGACAGAGCTAACAAAAGTGACCGGGCTGGCACCTGAGCCCACCTGTCACTGCCATGCTGGGGAGCGCCCAGAGGCCTTGCCTGCCTCCCGTGTGGCCGGCGGCCCCTCACCTGTGCTCCTGCGTGGTGTACTTGAGCAGCTCGGCCAGCTGCAGAGGGTACTTGCAGATCTTCTGCACGGGCGTGAGGAGGAAGCCGTCCAGGGCGATGTCGATCATCTGCTGCAGCAGGCGGCAGGCCTCGAAGAAGTGCCGGTAGCGGCTCTGCTTCATGAGGCCGGACAGCTCCGCGCAGGCGCCGGGGTGGTTGTTGCAGTACTCCGAGTAGATGCCGAAGCCCTCTTGCTGGGGAGGGAAGCGCAGCTCGTCAGGCCCTGGCGGCTCTGGGCCCCGGCGAGGACCAGCAGCCCGGTGCTACGTGGGGAGTGCTCCTGGGCAGGACGGTGCCATTCCACGGGGGCCCCCTGACCTCCTGCGGTGTTTTCCCTGCCTGGGCAAGGGGCTGGGTTCTTTGCAGGAAGGGGCCACCTGCAGACTCTCCAGGGAGGAGCTGTCTCTTGCGAGGTGGAGGAAGAGGCCGCTGGAGGAAGCAGAGCCCTGGCCGCCTTCCAGGCAGCCCTCCACCCAAAAGGGGGTGTCGCAGGTGCACAGGGCTGACCCATGGGAGCGGCGCCCGCTGCCGGCACCCTCCTCACCCCAGCTCGGATCTAAGACAGAAGGGGCTGTTTTACGCCCAGTCTGCCCCCTCCCTGTCCTCTCTGCTTTCTGGTAAACTTCACCGTGACCGAGCGGCGACTTTCCTCACTGCATGTCTCCTCGACGTCCCACCACCTGGCTTCTGCCTGCAGCACCCTCAGACCCCGCAAGACAAGCCCTGCGCTCACTTCCTTTCTCCACGGGTCCCACCTCCAGGCTGCTGCCACCCTGCCAGCCCTGTGACGCCTGCCCTTCTCCTGGACTTGCGGCGCCCGCTCCGGTCCTCCCTCCATCCCTCCCATCCCTCCACGTGCTGGACCCCCCTCCCTTCCCCCGCACCTCCAGGGTCAGGCTTCCTGGCTGGTTCTCCCGCCTCCGCATCTCCCCATCCCCGCTCCACTGCTGCCAGACGTAGGTGGCAATGTCCCCCTGCCCAGAGCTGCACTGTTCTGCTACCTCTGCTCCAAAGCTTACACATGGGCGTGAGCAGACTCAACGCATCCACAACCAAACTTCCATTTCCTAGAAGGCAGGTTTTCCTGGCCCACCTGCTAACTGTTCCGGACTCCAGACCCTGCGAGTGGCCGTGACTGCCGCTTCTCTTTGTTCCCTATGACCTGTCTTGTCAGTTCTCAAAACACTCATCTCGATCTGTCTTTCCCTGTATCTGCTGCCCACACCCCTGCTCGGGGTCACCCCGCTCCCCCCGGCCCAGAAGTTGCAGCTCCTCTGATCCCACGGCAAAGCCCCCTGATCTCCAGGCAAGATCCACCTGCCTGAGGCTCCATCCCCATCAGGCCCTACCCCCTCTGTGGCCTGAGAGTCACGGACCTCTGAGACTTCTCTCTTAAGCTGAGAACCTTCCACTCTGGTAAACAGGTCTTTTGCAAAGTCCCAAACAGGCCTGGAGCACTCGTGTGGTGACTCCCCTCCCCCAGCCTGCACGACCCCACAGCGTCGCTTCCGGCTATTTAAAAGCAGCCTCCCCAGGAATGGGCCCCACGTCACGGCCTCGACGAAGCTGCGGGCCCAGCACCCAGCCAGTGCTGCCGAGGGGGGTGGTGGTGGTCGTCGCTGTTCTTATATTATTATGCCCTGGCCATTCTGGCTGGGAACAAAATCTTCTTCCCCTGAAATCTTTTAGTATTAAGTAGTGACAGTCAATCATCAGTCACATGATGAGCTCAAGCCGTCATCACAAAGACTGTTCTGAGGCAGTTACCGTGGCTACAGGCATGGGACCCAGAGCCACACACCTCGGTCTGAATTCCCACCCGCTACTCACTAATGTGTCACCTTGGATCAGTTACTCTCTGGGCTGTCATTTCCTCATCTGTGAAATGAAGACAAGAATCATAGCGCCTCGTAGCAGCATAGGAGCTAATGTAGGAGACCCTGACAAGGGCTTCACATGCCACAGAAGCTCAACGGGCATTACTAGAAATTACTCTCAACTGCACAGGAGGGGGACGATTTTGAAAAAAATGGAGTTTAGGGCATTTGGCTAAAGATTAACCACATAAACCAATCAACTGAATTTACAAGTGACATCTCCGCTCCATAGAAAATTAACCTAGCAAACAAACAGAAGGGACTTCTATTTTTAGTGGGGAAACATTTCAAAATTATTTAACTGGATGTCGTTAATAGAGAAGTACCGGGTGACGTACGTGTTGAAGAAAGCAGGATCCTATTTCACTTAAATGAGGTTCCTCTTTATTGTACTGTTTCTCGAGGTCCTTCAGGAACTTTCTTTGGAACTTGTAAATATCTTCGATGTTTCCAAAAATGGTGGCTAGCTGTGCAACGGTGAACATTCCTGTGTGCTTGCGACACTGCCGAATGTAGCCCTGCAAATGAGAAAAGTACACTTTAAAAATTAATTTGGAAATTCGAAGAAATTATTTACTTGAATAATACAGTATTTTGTGCCCAGAGCCATTGTCTTGGCGTGGATTTCAATTAGAGAAAATCATTTTAACCTCTATGGGTCTCTGATGGGGCAATCATACTTCCAGGACTACAATGTGCCATAAATATTTTAAGAACAAAAGGAAATAGAAAAGATGTGTGTGAGTGGATTTATTGTTCAAGAAACCATATAAAGTTTCCAGATTATACTCATGAAACAAGTTGCTTGGTTTCAAATACCAGAGCTGAAAAATTGGTATTGTCACGCTTTTTCCAGACTCTTCGGCTAATCATTCTCCCGGTCCCTAACCCCATTTCACAGTCAAACACAGAATGCCATCGCTTCCTGAACAGCTCATGCATCTCTGCTTGCTGTCACGGCCAAGAGCCGGGAGCATCTCACCCGAGGGTTCCCCCATCACCTGCCTTCTGTCTGCAGCACAAACCCGAGGCCTACACCAGTTAGAGATTATTGGTTGTGCTCCCCGCTTCTACTATGGCTTGGGTGGGAGTCGGCGGGGCAGGAAGGAAAGGCCATAAGTACGTGTAATAATTGTTCCCAAATCGGCATCATGTAATCGCCAGCTAAACTCCACACCACTGACGGCTGGGCATGAGTTTTAACACAACACGACGTAAAGGCTCAGAGTACAGGGCCCGGGGCAGCCCACCTGGTGTAGACACCAGCCCCGCCACTTCTCCTCGGCCGTAACACGGGGCTAAGGGACAGGACCTTGCCCAGTGAGAGCGAGCGCTGGGAGCATGACAGGAGTTAATCCAGGTACGGGGCTGGCACACAGTCAGTGCTCAACAATCATTAGCAATTACTTTCATTTTCCTAAAATGCGTCACTTTAAAGAACGTCCCTTAACCACATGCTTATACAGAACAAGCTACGCATTGTTTATCTGGGTCTGGCCACTTGACCTGTCACTTCAGCCCGCCTTCAGTGCTGAAGCGTCACCGCTGAGCGGAGAGCAGAGCTCAGCACTAGCGGCCAGGACAGCTGGGATGGTTGGGCAGGGCAAAGGGCAGTTTAGTGTAGCGCTCGCACCAAACCCGTAAGAATGAAAAGTGCCTCGGGAGAACTAAAACGTACTGCAGAGCAGAATTATCGAGACGCTGTGGAATACAGCCCTGGATATCACTAGACAAAACTAGTTTTGTCTGAGTCTAACTGACGCAGCGTCTCGTCTGTGAGTCAGTGGTCAGAGGCAGTGGGGCTGCACCGTGACAAGCCTCTGATTCTTTGTAAAGCCAAGTGCTTCACTCGAGGGCGTTGCCTTCTCTGACAGCCGCTCGCTGGGAACATCTCAGAGGTAAGTCCTGAAAGCGACAGTGGCACAATGCCCCGAGGACGGGCTGGCTGTGACAGCAGGGCAGGTGGCCTCTCGTGCTCGCCAAGGGAGACGAGTGTCCGTGAGCGAGCAGTCTGCAGGGACCGGGCTGATGGGGGACGGAGGAGCAGCACGCGGGCTCCGCACATGGCAGGCGACGGCCGCCGTGAGGCCCCGTGTGTGCGGCCTTACCTCGCAAATGTCCTTGAGGTGCTTGATGTACACGCGCTCGGTGTTCATGATCTCCTGGATGACGTTGGCCCTCATCTGCTGCTTGCTCTCGCAGTGCCTGTGGCGGTCCGTGCCGGTGCCCTCCGCCTGCTCCCCGCCCGGGGTGCCGCCGGACTTCTCCGACAGCTCTTCCTGATTGACTCGCAGCTGCAGCCCACACAGAGGGGACAGGTGACTTGGAAGGGGCAGCAGTGGAAGGCCTCCCTGGCTTCCACTTCTCCACGACCAGTCAGGGAGGCAGCCTGGCCCTCGCCTGTCTCGTGTGCCTGGCAGGGCACACTGTGCCAGCGGCCCAAACCCCAGTGGCAGTGCCGACAACTAGTTTACTTCACTTAAAAGTTTTCCTTCCACCCAGTTGAATTTCTACAAGGTTTGAATTAAGTGATTACAAAGAACTGAATCTGTGCAGAGTGAGTTTGGCCTGAAGCGGTTCTACCGCCCCCTCCCACCCCCGAGAGACAGTTGCGAAGAGTAGAAAGCGCCCTCACTCACTCTGACAAAGCTTGCGGGGAACCAGGCCTCCTTGTCCTCATTCCGGCCCCACCACCAGTCCTTGTTAGAGGCTTCCAGAACCTGGATGACATCTCCCGCCTTGAAGCCCAGCTCCTGGTCATCCATGGTCACATGGTCCCACAGGGCTTCCGCACAGACCACACTGCCATCGCCGATCAGCTGAAATGGAGACACACGGCGAGCTTAGTGCCAAACCCCAGGGACAGACAGTGAGGGGGACGCTGTGTGCTCGCCCCGGTGACACGCACAGCTTCTAGTTCTCATCTGCGTTCACCAAAGGCTCTGGGTCAATATCTACTGTTTGAATGGAGAAAAACACCAGGCAAAAACATCAGAGACAAAGAAACCAGGTGAGCCTCTCTCACACGCTCTTCAAGGAAACCCAAACCTACTTTTGAAATAGTGTATAAATGGCTCATTTATCTGTAGAGCAGTTATTTAACAAAACTGAATAGCTGGAGTATTCCCCCCCAGGATGGTTTCTGAGCAGCCACCTGGGCTGTCGCAGAGCCCGGCCTGGGAAGGGGGCGTGCACACTTAACTGCAAGAGCCTCACAGCTCCGTCCAGAACGTGGTATTCGCACTTTACTCGCGATTCGAATCAACTTTTTATTTAACTTCATAGTTTAATTCAAGAGAATACAGAGCGATCTCTGGACGGTCGACAGTTAATGATGAAAGTAAAGCACAGACGTGGCTCCCGGGGACCCCAGCAGGGGCAGCTGGCTGCACCCCAGCTCAGCTCCCGGGGACCCCACCATGTCCTCGAGCAGTGATGGGCACTGTGACGGGGACCTGAACTCACTGAGACGTTCACCTCACATGCTCTGCTCAAGCATCCCAAAAGCTAGAGGTGCCTTCTAGAAAGATTTCCGTAAGAAGAGCTAAAGACACAGAGTGGTAGAAAGAGCACCAGATTCGTCACGAGAAATACGTGCTCAACGCCAGCCCTGCCATTTGCTAGCAAGTACTTTGGCCTCTCAGCTTCGGCGTTTGTTAAAGTACGGGTAATAATCGTAACGTCTCCCTCGCAGACCTGCCGTGAGATCTGCACGAGGAAACGTAAGGGAGAGCATTTCAGAGACAGAAAGCGCCATCCGCACGCTGACGAAGGATGGACTTCATCACATGAGCTGTCCTAGAAAACGCCAGAAACGCAGTGTTTTCGTAGTCAAAGCTCTAGGTTTTAAGATACGTTTAGGAAGAAATAATCAGAGAGCAACGTCTGAAGGGATTCGGGACCCTGAATCCCGGGCGTGCGGCGTGCGTCACGGTGTGCGGAACCCCGGTACCTCGTTGATGGCCAGCTGCTCCCCGCCCGGCTGCAGGTATCTGGGGTTGCCCTGACAGAGGTCTTCATAGCTGTAGTCCTCCTCACTGCCGTTGTCGTCCACTAAGGCAGACGACTCCGTACCACCATCTGAAGAAACTGGGGGGGAAAAAAAAAGTGATGGATGGTTTAAGACACAGCTAACGAAGATTTTTAAATGACAGCAGAAATGACCGCGGAGTGCGTACCCCTGCCTCCAAAGGAAAATAATCATTTTTATCTTACACGGAATAAGAAATCATTAGAAAATTTCTACTGCTCTATTTGTTAATCCGAAGGTAGCCATTGAACAGGGCCGGGGTTCAGTGTCGCATGACGTAAGAGGGGGCCACGTCAGACAGCGCTGCCGACGTTAAGGCGCAGCGTTGTCTTGTGAGTTAGGGCACCGAGTGAACGAGATGTGATTTAGCTGGAAATCCCTGCTCCAAAGTGGACGTCAAAAACATAAATGTAGATACTGTTTCTAAGCAACATGCTGATAAAGCTTGAGGAGAAAACGAAAAACATTCATTTCTAAAAAAGTGTTCTGCTTCTATTTTTTTTCACCTGCCAGGCAGTAGTACTACCCAAATCAAAAGGTCCTAGTATCGTTACGTGAACACGTGAAGTCGTTTTTACTAGTTTTCCCCTGTGAAAGGGGTGGGACAACGTCAGACCTGGGCGTCACACAGCACCTTTACCGAAAAAGAGAGAAACTCTTTCAAGGAGCAGCATTCTGAATTGGCCACCTTGGTATTCAGGTTTTCTTTCTCGGGATGGTGGGCTAACTCTCCCCAAGGCTCATCTGTCACCGAGTGTGAAGCCTGTGGGACGTGGACAGCAGTGCACGTGACACAAGACGAGGCTGGAAAAGCGAGGTGGGAGCATACGGCAGGGGCTCCGGGAGCTGCAGGTGGCACTGGGGTTGCTCTTTCAGGGCTGGGGGAGGGGGCAACAGGTTTTGAATAGAGAGAGGCCCCCTGACGCTGAAGAAAGAGAAGCGAGTTCAGAGCCAGAGGCCTGGCGGGAACCCCGGCCCCGCCCTTCCGAAGGGATGCGGCTCCACCCTCATCTCCGTGTGCCACGCTCTTCTGTTGTAAAGGGCATTTTCTTTCTTTTCGGAGAACTGAGGTCGTGTGCGCCAAGCTCCCAGCATCCCTGAGTCACGGCTGGGACTCAACAGAAGAGCTACCGCAGCGACAGCCATGAGCGTTGGGGAACCTGGGGGGAGGGCGTGGGGGGGCAGAGGCTGGAACCAGATGGGGAGAAGGGGTCAGTCGGAGTGAGTGGTCCGTGCCGTGGGAAAGGAAACTCAGAGGGGGTGCAGGCTGAGTCGATGTCTGGAGCAACAAAGACGATAAAGTCAACAATAAATCGAAAAAAACCCAAGTTACTGAGAATCAACGAGAAGGGAGGACGGAGCCGGTGACCTGGGGAGGGCGAAGGCGGGTCTGGGGCTGCAGCGGGACGACGGCTCCTTCCGCCTTTGCTCCTCCCGAGGACGGGAGACTCTGAACCTCTAAGAACTTACTCTTAGGGGCAGGTGTACTACTTTTAGGGGAAAACTATGTGTTTTTAACGAGGTGTTTCCTATTCTTCACTGCGCACTAAGTCTTCAAAATCCAATGGGCATTCCACGTTCGCAGCCCACACACCTGGACGAGCCACATTTTGGCGGTTCCAGACTCAGGCCGGCCCTGGCCCATGCCCCGAGCTCTGCACCCCAGGCCCCCATCACCTTCCCTTCTTCCCTCCCCATCACCTCACTCATATAGGTGTTGTGGTCAACTTTTTAAAAGAAACCCATTTTGTATAGAACCTAGAAATCTTGCACTAAAATGGTAAAAACTACTCAACAAGATTTGCAACAACGGAGGGTACAAAATACTGTGAACACAAGCTTTGTGATTGTATTTCATGCATCGGATTCCTAAGCGTGCCTTGCCGAGCAGACGGGACCACGACCCCGTGGAGAGCTGACGGCACACGGGGTGCGATGGCGGGAGGCCGAGGGCGAGCGTGGCTCCCCCAGCCGGTGCCCGCCCCTCCCACGTGCCGATCCTCCGAGCCGGAGCCTGGACAGCGCCTCTTGGCGATGCCCAACGAGCCAGGTCTCTACAGAGGCCCATGCTTCACACGTGCTTCCCCGTGGCCTAGGGCACCCTCTGCGCCTGGGCAACCCCCACCCCAGCCGCTGTCGCCCCCTCTTCAGAGCGGCTCCCCAGCCCTTCCTTTAGGCTTCCTCCCATGGCAGCACTTGCATGGGAGGCATGAGCCACCAGCCACGCATCTGTGTCCCAGTCAGGCTAACAGGTGGTTTGCCCACCCTAGGGTGGTCTGGATGTCTGGACAGTAACCCTAGGATGTGCTGACGACTGTGTGGCCGGCTGACGAGAGGTCCTGGCTCTGCCCAGCACCCTCCAGCACTTCACCACCCACTCCCTGTGCCCGTGCCCAGCCCACTCCGGAGAGACCCGGCCTGTGTCCAAGCGGCGAAAGCGAGAGGGAGCTGCCTCAGGGAAGGAGAGACCGCAGCGGAGGATGCTCCTGAGCCTGACCGCAGTCGATAAGCAGGGGAAAGGTCTCCAGACCCCTGGTCTGCCTCCTGACCCCCCAGCCTGCTTGCCGCTTCTCTAGGCACTGCAGGTGGTCCGGGTGAGGGGCGTGCAGGCAGGTGGGCGGCAGGGAGCCAGCAACGTGTGTGTGCGCATCCGCCCCGGTCAGGGGTGAGACCCTCTCAGGGGACGTTCCCTCAGGACTGCAGAGCTGGCCGCGCTCCTGCTGCCCAGAGCTGGGGGGTTTGGGGTGGGTTTCAGGAAAGTTAGGCTGCCCTATGTGAGAAGGTCGGTCGCATGAGCCTGGACAAGGCGTGGTGACTTCCTCCTCCTCCATGCTGTGGTCATGGTGCTTGTGGGCAGAGAACACGAGGTCACCAGGTCTACTGCATGTCCCTGGTACGTGTATTTGGGTGGGGGTGGGGAGAAGGTCCTGAGGAAGCAAATATAAAAATGTTGAACTTGTATGAGTCTGCCTCCAACCACAGGCAAGATGACACTAAAGCTGAAAATCTTCTCTACCCGGAGTCCGGAGGGTGGCTGCTCAAACTGTGACCCCAACCTCGCCTGTTAATGGCTGAGAGGCTCCTTGTGGGGGGCCCAAGGTGGCAGCGGTCTCCCAACTTCGGCAAGCACTGGTCTGCACAGCCTGGGACCAAGGGCACTGCTCCCCGCATGGCTCAGGTGCACTTGGGCCAAAAGAAGTCGAGCTCAGAAAGACAGAGGCATCTGGGACCCCGACACACAGTGTCCCGAAAATGCCACCTTCTCCCGCAAAGACGCGAAGAGCAGTGTGCTCCCACGCCAGACTCCACTACTGTCGGATTGGGCTGCTGCTGTGATCATTGGTAAAGGAGACAGAGAAAAAAAGCCACAATTTACAAATATAACGAGAAAAGGGCTCCATTGGAAAAAAAAATGCTAAGCCTTTCTTTCCAGGAGGTACTGAAATACAGGTCTTTGGAAATGGGCTACGGGCTTCACACACTGAATGGTCTCTGAGTTGCTATCACAAACACTTAGAGAAAAGGCCCCGGCTGAGGCGGATCCTGATAAAAATTTCAATGGCAAGTGTTTCGACGTCGCCAGCGGGCATTCCCCGAGCCCTGCAGAAACAGGTGGTGACAAGAGCTCGGCCGGGCGGGGCAGGAGGCCTGGGTGGCAGGGACGCAGCCTGCACGAGGGACAGGCCGGAGAACCCGGGGTGGACATACCTGGGCAAACGTCCTAGCTTGATGCACTTTTAGCTAAATGCCCTTGGAGCAAGTCCTGTACCCTCTCCCAACCTCAGTTTCCCATCTATAAATTGGGGGTGTGCTTACACGTTTTTATCTATTCAAAGGCTATTTTCCGTCTGCCTCGTGTCCAACTCGTCAGTGAATCTGGACTCTCCCTTCAGAACGTGTCCAGAATCTGACCACATCTCACTGCTCTCCCACTGCTCGGGCCTCGGTCACCTCGCGTAGGGTCACTCCTGCAGCACCTTACTGGTCTCCCTGCAGCTGTCCCTGTCCCCTTCCTACAGGGCTCATCAGAGCATCCAGAGTGACACTGCTGAACTATTCAGAAGTCAGATCGTTCACTCCAAACAATCCACAGGGGAGAAAGCCCAGGTCCTTGAACCAACCCTGCCCACCTGCCTTCAGCTCTGGCCCTGACGGAGCCGATTATACAGCAGGCAGCCACCCCTTCAGGGCCCGCCTCTGCCGACACCTTCCCACAGCTCCAGAACTCTCCACAGGTCCTCCCGGATCATCTCACTAAAAACTACAACTCTCCCCGCCACCCAGTCTGCTTTCCTGGTTTGTTTTTCTCCATAGCGTTCACGGAGAAACGTGCTTCCCGCCTGCCTTCACCAGCTCAAATGTAAGCTACGTAAAGACAGTGACTTTTGTCTGCTTTGTTCTTAATTGTGCTCCTACCTGGAGCGCTGCCGGGCACACACAGGTGTGCAGTGTGCAGTGAGTTTTTACTGGACAGATGGATGAGTGGACACACGGCATACGGACTCAGAGGGCTTGGAGGTCAGGCTGATCTGGCTTCCAAATAATTGTGCTGCACAAATTCTTTTTAACAATTTTTTTAGTGTGAGTCCTTCATCAAGTTCCTTTCTTGGGTTTTTCACCTGTCACATGCGGATAATAATACCCATCATCGCAGAGATGTTTATAAATTCTCAACAAGTAATTGTTATTAGTTTGCTGAGTCTCAGATGAAATGATGATCTATGAAAGCACTCTGTAAACTGAAAACCTTAAAGAAACGCAGGACTATTTTGCTCGGTATGTCTGCATCACGCTGGACGGCCGCACGAGTCGCTGGTCCTGCTCCTTTTGCGGACCCCTTCTTCCTCCTCTGGATCCCCACCCCCAGTTCGGTCTGTAATGATCTGATTAAGTTCTGTCCTCTCCTCTGCCCTCCGTGGCCTTAACTACTGTCCTGATTCTTCAGTCCCTCCAAGCTGAGGACAGCCTGTGTTCCGGCCCTGTAATCTACGTGCACCTCACGGAGCTGGACTTCTCAGTGCCTGGCGTTTGGCTGGGTGGGCTTTCGTCCCCACACACT